AGATAAGGATTTTTCTTCCTTGTGGCTAAAAAACCTTGACTAAAATAAACTACTACTTAGGTGTTGGCAGCAGTGGCTGCAACGGAGAGTTGTAAACTTTTATCTTGGCAGTTAAAGAAAGGGTAGAATGTTTTCTACTTGCTTATTTTGAATTGGAAATTGATGTCATTGAAAGCTATTTACACCATATTCTTTTTTTTTAAAGATTTTATTTATTTATTTATTTATTTATTTATTTATTTATTTATTTATTTATTTATTTGAGAGAGAGAGAGAAACAAGATGAGAGGGGAGGGGGTGAGAGGGAGAAGCAGGCTCCCAGCTCAGCCAGGAGCCCGATGTGGGACTTGATCGCAGGACTCCGGGATCATGACCTGAGCTGAAGGCAGTTGCTTAACCAACTGAGCCACCCAGGCGCCCTACATCTGTATTCTTGTTGTTAATCATTTAGGACATTCAAGCTTTTCATTCTGTTCTCACTTGTGATAATCATATTGGCTTTATAGGGTGTGTCCTTGGGGACTCTGCATTTGTGGGAAAAAAAACCCCACAAAAAAGCCCAACATCAGACATAAGCTTATATCAGAGAGCAAGATTGCCTCTGCTTGTTTATAATAGTGGACTTTTGGAAGATCTGCACCAGAGACATAATCTTGATAGCCTTGTCAACAAATTCAGTGCCCAAATAACTGGAGATTCTTATGGCTGGGGAAACTCCAGATATATAGTATCATAGGAGAGGCAGGGACGAAGGAGAGGTGATTCAGTCTGTGGTCCATCTCCACAATAACAAGTTGCGCTCCTCGTCAGTTTTAGCTCCTACACCAAATTGGTATTTACCTGGGTGGAGAAGTGTAAATAGTGGGCACCCTGGGAATGAGTTGGGGTTGTCCTTTTTTTTCCCCCTGAAATGAGCTGAAAGAGAGGGCACTGTGTAAGTTTGCATAAGATACTAAGCTATTGTGGGTAATAAAATTCGAAGTTAGGTAAAATACTCTGTGGGAAGAAGTTTCATACCTGAGGGAAAGGACAGAAAAATGAATGTCAGTTGGGAAAAGGATACTTAGAGAGTGGTAGAGGGAGAACTCCTTTACAGTGAGAGGCTTTGTGGTCTAGCAGGTAGGCACATGGGCTCTGGACCTGGACTACGTGTTTTTAAATCCCACGTTTGCCATTTAGGGCTGTGTGACCATGGAAAGGTTACTTAATTTCTTGGTGCTTCACTTTCTTCATCTATGAAACAGGAATAACAAGAATACCTACCTCATAGGTTTGTTGTGAAGATGAAAGAATTGATACATGTCGTACGCATAGAGATGTGTCTGGCCCAGAGTAGGCGCCTAATTAAGGCTAGCTGTTACTATTCCATAAGACTTCATCGCGTGTGTCAACAAGACCAGCAAGATGCATGAAAACTAGCACAAGTATTCTATCTTCTGGCTCTGTTGAGAAAAATCCAATCTATTTACTCTTTTGACTATGGAATGTGTGTGCTTTGGCTAAAACAAGAAAGAAGGTGCATAAAAAGGCTACTAAAATGAGGATGGGAAGAGAGGGGCTTTCATAGAAGGAGAGTAAATAGATTGGGTTCTGGCCTGGAAAAATGAAGACTGAGATGCACTATGATGAATTTTGTGAAAGACAGGAATAGAATGAATAGTAACTTGTTTATGAAATACTGGAAAATTAGAACTGGCGTGAAAGATGAATACTTTGAGGTGAATACTTGAACAGATGGTTACTTGACTGTGCTTGTTGTGAGTCGTTCAGTTACGGAGCTCATTAGCTCAGGAGTTTCAAAGCAATCTGGATGAAGGGTATGGGTTACGGTCCTTTAACTATCAAGGGTCATTAGGGACGTTTGGGATAGAGCCCTAGTTTAGTCCAGTGCAGCATGTGTAAATAACTTCTATTAATGTAGTATATAGCTGTTGCAAACCACTCAGCAACCTTAATTCACTTGATTCCCACAACAGCGAGTTCTTGAGTTTATACTGTGGGCAAGTCTCTGCAGGGAATCAAAAGATGAGAAAGACCGCTCATGTGGAAAGTTCTGATCTGCGTTGCCACCCAGAAAACACTGTGATCAAATTAACTTAATTTGAAAGTTTAGTATAGTTAGTTCACTTTTATTGAGACCAGGGAATTTTTGGTTATTTTTTGAGTTTAGGATTGGTGTTGTGAAGAAGTTAAGGAAATAAAAGTTCTCTTTTTGTTATTGTTTTGCTTTCATAAATTCTATCAAGGTGATAGAAAGTTTATTCTTGTATTTTTATTGTTAGAGTGGTTATTCATAAAAATCAATTTTAGGGCTAGAGGTTAATTTGGAGACCATCTTCTTCAATCCCTCCTTTCACGGCTGAAGGAGATGGGTCCCTTGGGTGACATACATAAGGTGGCCACACTTGGACCAAAACCCAAGTTCTAGTCTTCTTTGTTTTATTTCCCATCAGGCTGCTTCCCCCAGAGGATCAGGGTGATTGTAGTTGAGCTTATTTCTGGGTACACACAGACTCAAATGTGTTATGTTTTATCTTGGAGCACCCAGAAGCAGATTTATAAGCTTAAGCTTCATGGCCCCTCACTTGTACAAGCCTTGAGTGGGGAGAGGAAGCTAGGTTGTAATCAGGAAACATTTTTCATATAAACATTTCTGGTAAATGACCTAAAGAGTTAAGGTAAGAGATGGACTTGACTTTCCAAGGCTCCAGTAATTTATTGTGATCTTTCTCACATTCTAAGAAAAAGAAACTCACTTTTGTACCTATTTCCTACTTGCAATTTTGTATTTTTTTTCTTAAAGAAGTATCCTCTTCTTGTTATTTTTATTTTTTATATTTTTTATTTATTTTTATATTTTTAAAATAATTTTTATTTTTTATATTTATTTTTATATTTTTATATTTTTATTTATTTATTTTTATATTTTTTATATTTTTTACATTTTTTATATTTTTATATTTTTTAATTTTTATATTTTAAGTTAATTTCAACTTTTGTTGTAGTAATAAAATAAAAAAGTTGTGTTAAAAGGTTTTAAACAAAAATGGTATCTCCTTGCCCCATCCTTCCCCACCCCTTAGTTTTACTCTCCAGAGTCAAGCATTTTTAATTCCTTTAGATATTTCCTCAACTGCTTACCTCTACATTGTTTAATAATTTGCTATCTTAATTGATCAGTTTTATATCAGTTTACAATAATATAAAATTTTATATCAATAATACAATGGGTGGCAAACATATGTTTTATGTGTTTTGTTAACACATAACAAAACACATAAAACACAAAAGAAACTCACTTTTGTACCTATTTCCTACTTGCAATTTTGTATTCTTTTCCTTAAAGAAGTATCCTCTTCCTGCCACAAGATTATAAATTTCAGGTTCCACGAAACCTCAGTTTGTTTCTGATGTCCAAAGATATAATTGGTTAGACATTTCATTTTAATATTTCAGATTTTGATTTTTGAATTAATTTTTATTTAAAAACTTTAATATACTTGTTATTTTTATTTTTTATATTTTAAGTTAATTTTAACTTTTGTTATCTAGGATTCAAAATTTAGGTAATTCACCCCAGATAATTATTAAGAATATATTCCTAATTTCTTGTTACTCTCAAACTCATAATGGTGCTTGCCACTATGAAAACTAGTTTTTAATATATGGAAGTTAAATATAATTTTAAAACAAAATATATTTTAAAAATTTCTTTTACATACTATTTTTTTGTTAGCTTCATTCGAAGCATTACACAATAATAGAGAATTAACTATACTGGTTCCAATAACACCTTCCCTCCCTGATACTTTATACATGCAGAATATTTGGTGAATTCTAACTGGGTCCTACTAAGTAGGGCAACAGCATTGTTTTACCTTACTGAAGTAGAAATTAAGGCCATTGCAATTCGTGATTAGGTTTTCTTATGGGGATTTTTTGTTCTTAGATAATGCACGCCCCTATAAAGAGGATTAGTGTTTTCCTAAATAATCCACTATATAAATCAAGAATGGCACTGATTCTTTAGAGAAAGAGAAATTATTTTCAGTGTTTTTCAATATATTTTAATTCAGTTCCTTTTGAGATTGATGCAATTCAAGGGGCATGCTATTCAGTTGAATCCTTATGGAACATAGCTCTATACTTTCATTTGATTTATTTTATTTCCTGAGAACATTCACTGGAAGAAAACAATGCTTCTGAATCCTTAAGATCTTGGTTGAAATGCTCAGCCCTGATAGCCTTTACAAGCAGAGATTAAATGTCTGTGATCAAATCCTCCTCCCAGAATGCACTGTTATTGGAATGCCCCTGGCCTCTGTCTAGACCTGTAGTTTTGAAGCAACTACACATCTCAGGATGCACCACCTCTTTGCCCTTCCTTTTCTGTCTTTAGTCATATTGTCCACTGAAAGTTGTAGACAGACATAGGAGTGGTAAATCCCCAGGGCCAGGTATGGGCTGACTTGCTTGCCTGAGGTGTTTTTTTTTTTTTTTCCCCAGATTTTTAAGAAATTGGTGGTGATGGGGGTTCACACTGAGGAGTGGTGGAAAACAGAGAAACACCTACTGGAGATTATGGCAGGGTTTCTAGCTGTTTATCAATGGGCTGTTTGCCTACTTCCCTGCTTGATGTCCCCAAACTTATAAAATTGAAGGTGCTGTTCTAAAATCTCCATTTCAAGTGACTTCCACATGTAGAGAGAGAGTTAGTGGTTAATTTGGTGCAGTAGTTTATTTCCATCAGTATTGAAGGAATTTCCCCTGGACTTTAGTAGGTATGATAGATTCTAAAGCTATTCTCTAGGGATGCTGTGCATTTCTCCTGAAATTCTGGATCCTTTAAAATGAATGATCTTACTATTTGGGTGTCTTGTGTAAGGGATTTCCTGGCACTTGCATTTATATTGCATTACTGGAAGCTTATCAAAAATAAATGTGTGTACTCAGTCAATTGACTACAGCATTTGGTTTGTTTCATCAGTTAGATTCAACATCAGTTCTCTCTGAGGAACAATTAAGGTGTCTTCTGGATGAATGCACACTCACACGAAAGTCCATGAATAGACTTCCTTCAGAAAGAGAAAAGGAAGACATTGAGGATATAACACCTGAGGTCCCTCATCTTTCCAGATCTATCCTCTCTGAGCTCCTAAATGGATTAGAAACAAAGGTCGAAAGCACAGAGGTTAAAGATGCAGATATACCCGAGAATGCGGAATGTGAGACAAGTAGAGGCCACTATCTCACCAAAGCCTTGACTGGGCATTACATGTCCCAGGCTCTTGTCATCGAAGCAGAGAATTTGAAATGCCTCCAATTTTCTGAGGACGAGGTTATTACTGACACAAAAGACTACTTTATGTCAAAGACTCTTGGCATTGGAAGACTGAAAAGGCCCTCTTTCTTGGATGATCCATCGGATGGCATCAATGTGAGCCTTTCATCTGAAGACCAACATCTGAAAGTCAGCCCTCCAGAGAAACCAGAAACGGGTAAGCCTTGGAAAATGTGTATATTGGTGAATAATTATTACTCCGCATCTCAGTATAAAGATGTTATAGTTTCAGGTAGAGCAGGATGGGAGTTATGTTTGTAAATCACAGATGGTGTCAATAGCTTGCTACGTAACCTTTATCAGTATTTGTGTGAGACCAAGGTTGAGATTCGTACTCTTATGAGATACCTTATTTGTAATGGTAATGAATACATATTCTTGGTGGTTATAAAGAAAACAGTGATGATTTCAGAATAAAAGACAAATTGGTTTGAACAGATGCAAATAATTTAAATAGATTTGCTTAGTCTTTTTTTTTTTTTAAAGATTTTATTTATTTATTTGAGAGAGAGAGAGACAGCAAGAGAGGGAACACAAGCAGGGGGAGTGGGAGAGGGAGAAGCAGGCTTCCCGTGGAGCAGGGAGCCCAATGCGGGGCTCGATCCCAGGACCCTGAGATGACCCGAGCCAAAGGCAGACGCTTAACGACTGAGCCACCCAGGCGCCCCTTTTTGCTTAGTCTTTTAACTTCCGAATTTCAGTGATGGCAATTTATTCCAGGGAATGAATTTGTAAAATGTGAAATACATTTTCTTAGCGGTTTTATTTGCTTCTATACAAACTTCCTGTCCCAGCTACTTGTATATCCCCAGGTATTTTGGCTTGATCTGGTGTTGCACTTTACAGTGGCACAATGGTAAAAAAAACAAAAAAAACCAAAAAAAAAAAACCCCAAAACAGTGGCACAGTGGTACAGGTTATAAATATTATCGACAGTTTTTGACATAAACAAATATTCAATTATTTATCTATGTTAGAAGTCTATTTAAATAGACTCAACTTTTCCTCTAATGTAGATGTCTCTGTTGATTAATCTATTGATTACTTTATATATTGTCTATTAAATCTGTATCAACTATTATTATCTCCAGTCTACCTATTAAATCTAGACTCTACTAATTCCGAACTAACTCCTCAGTTTCGTATTTCTCACTCCTGCCAGACAACTCCATGTGGTTATGGCCTTAAAGTGATTTCCTCGTCTTTCCTTTTAACTCAGATTTTCCTCTTTCCTTTCTGTTTCCCCCATCACCCGGGCTCAAAATTTGAGTCATCATTGAATCTCCTCTCTCTTTTGCTCCCCACCTTGAGCTTCAGTATTGTTTGTTCTGTTCCCGCAGTGTCTCCCATGCCCATCCCTTCCTTGCTCTTCCTGCTGCCTCAGCTGGACACTGTGATGACCCTCGGACCGGTCCTCCCCACCTCTGGTTTCCCCCCTCCTCAAGCCATTGTTGACCACCACCAAACGAATCCTTCCAATGTCCAGTTTTGATAACCACACTTCACAGCTCAGAAAACTTCTGTAGCTCTCCACTGCCTGCTGAATATAACCCAAATTCTTTCCCTTGCTGGTCAAGGCCTCCACTGACTTCCATCTCTTCCTAATCAGTCTCTAACTAATCCTCTACATGTTAGTCAGGCTATGGCTAATCTGGTCTCGGGATTTCCAGGGCTTTTCTCTGCCCCTGGATAGCCCCTACTCTTTTCTTCTGAAGAATGTTCAGGTACCCCTTCAATGGCAGTTAGATCCCAACACCATCCTCTCTGAGTGTAACCTTCCCTTCTTCCCTTTTTAAGAAGTTTGATTTCTCCTCTTAAATATCCAAGAACATTGGTCCCCTATCAGGTCATTTCACACACACTGTCTTGAAGTTATTAGGCACACACACACACCTTCTCTTCCTTAAAATTGTGTAATTTTTTTGAGGACAAAGATCCTATCTTTTGATTTATTGTTACATCTCCTTTGATGTCCAAAGTGCAGCCTGAAACCAAGTGCCTGCTTAAGAAATGAAAATTTAAATCGCCCAGTTTTAGAATAATATGCTGAAAATGTGGTTCACATTTATTCTTCACATTATGAATGAAAGCAGGTGGTATTGCTTTTAAGAATTATGCAAGCCTCACATGCTATATAAAGATTTGGAACTTTTCTCTTTTTTTATGAAATTTTATAAGCTATGACATATGTATCCAGCAGAGTTCATTTTTACAACATGCAATTCAATTAAATGGGTGCATTCCACCTTCCCCCACTAAGGATCTTCATTTAATAAATGAACTATGAAAACTTTGTTCTGCTCTAAGATCATGGTGTATTTTCTATTTGGATAAAGGGTTTTTTATTAGAGAAAGTATCTGCATCTCCTCTTTGTCTACTGTAAGCAAACTTACTAAATTGGGTGGGATGATTGTTGCATAAGCGATCTCATTCCCATGGAGTCTATGTGGAAGGGGGTTTAGAAGAGTACTTCACTAAAATATGACTTTACTTCTGTGTGAACTTGAGTCACACTGATGTATATCTGTCTCGGAGTAGAACATGACAAGATGGAATGAACTAGAACTTAATGTAACTTGATGGAAAGAAGCTGTGGTGGCTTACCTATAACTTCAAAGAACGTGCCTCTGAAGGCACCAGATAATCCTAATGTATGATTATAACAACCCCTGTGAGTATGGAGGGTTAAGATGGCATAGAGGTGAATATGTGAACCATATTTTATTTTCTGTTTATTATATAACAAACTTTAAGGAATAGGTTCTACATTATCATTTTGAGTGCATGTTAGCATATCGGAGGTTGGAGTTTTTAATTTTACTAACCTCAGTGTTTACGAGTAAAATACTTTGCTAATCAATTTTATTCTAAATACTAAATTGTGGGGCGCCTGGGTGGTTCAGTCATTAAGCGTCTGCCTTCAGCTCAGGTCATGATCTCAGGGTCCTGGGATCGAGCCCCGCATCGGGCTCCCTGCTCAACGGGAAGCCTGCTTCTCCCTCTCCTACTCCTCTTGTTTGTGTTCCCTCTCTCTCTCTCTGTCAAATAAATTAAAAAATTAAAAAAAATAAATACTAAATTGTAATTATGTGCTCTCTATGAAAGCGAACACCAAAACTGAATGCCAAGCCAGCTTTCTTGGCACAAAGCTCTTTACGGATGTGACTTGAATGAGGAGTTGCAGTATGTTCAGCTGCTACGTTATATTCAGGTCTTTCCTAGGAAACAGTTACATGTGAACGTGATTCAGAGTAGGTTTCTATAGACAGGAACGAATTAAGAAAAACCAGTTATCATTTTCTCTTTCAATAGCAAATATTATTGATATATTCTTTTCTTTTTCTTGAGGAACTGAGGTCTGTTCTATTTAAAATTCTTCTAAAAGGCAGAGTCAGATAAAACTTCAAAAAGAGAACCCAGCTGAATGACATTGAGGGCCAATTTAAATTGTGGTATTGAAAGATAAGGATCTGTCTCACAGCTGTATTAAAAGTTCCATTTTTCTTGTTTGTGCTTCAGGCTTAGCGGCAACTTCTGATACTTAACTTTCTGCATAAAAGGTCCAGTAAATTCAGGGACGCCTGAGTGGTTAGCGGTGAAGCATCTGCCTTTGGGATCGAGGGGGTCCCAGGATCGAGCCCTGAGTTGGGCTCCCTACTCAGTGGAGAGTCTGCTTCTCCTTCTGCCTCCCCCCGATCCCCCGCTTGTGCTCTCTCTCAAATAAATAAATAAATAAAATCTTTAAAAAAAAAAAGGTCCAATAGTGAGTTGGGGCTTTAGGGGATTGGTAAATAGTGTCTTCTCTTCCCTACCCAGATCGGAACCCATTTAAAGACAGGGGGTTTTTGAGGAATGCAGAGCAAGGAGGTTGGCTTCATTGCTAATGAAAGGTAGGGCGTTGTTGTGACCTGGGTAGGCAGCTGAATGGTCTTCCGAATGTTGTGTCCTCCGAGTGAACTGACACACGCAGTCACTGGCGGAGGTGAAAAGCCTCAAGCCTCACCTGTGGAGACCTGTCCACATGGGGCCACTAGCATCAGGAGCCACGGAGCACCTGTGGCCGGGCGGGGGTGCATACTGACGGCCGTGGAGGAAGGGGCTGAGCCGAGCATGCCATTTCTTGCCCCAAACTCACTGATCAGGGACTTGGCTCTTCTCCCTGGCGGACCGTGGAGCAGGATGGAGCGAGGCGGGATGCTTCCCCACTCTAAGTTTCTCCACATTCAAGTGTGAGGAGAGCGGGGAGCAAGCATTCTTTGCCACCACGTCACCTCCGAGACACGCCTGAGTACGCTGGTACTTCAGAGAGAAAGCCCTTCAGGTCTGTGGTTAGTCTAGTACTTAATCAAGTTATCTTATGTCGAATTGCTTTCTAGAGAATCCCAACAAAAAGGCATCTCTGCATGTATGGTATTCTTTTTCCCACTAAGCATTTGAGCTACTTATTAACAGAAGTTCATATAGTAAAGAGGAAAATACGAATAACAAAAGCAACAGTAGTAGAATAGGGTAAAAAGGGACACCAAGGCAGTAGTAAAGAAAGGGGTCAGAACTCTAACTCTTCAAGGGAAACAAAGTGGAATTTCCCATAGGACCCCATATAATGAATGGTGCTTTTAAAAATTTCTATAATGAATGAGTCAGATACTTTTGTTCTAAAAATAACAACCTTAAATGAAAACTAGGGTTACTAACTGTACTAACAGGAGTGTCCTGATTTCACCACCGACTGTTTCTTGTCCTTGGAATCCCTTAGTCTCTGGCAAACTGGGATGATTGGTCACTGTAAATTGAAACTGAGAACAAAAACCCAGAGGGCAATTAATTACTTAAAGCTTGCAGTAGTCTGGGTAAGTAGCAGGACCCCAGACTAGAACCTGGAGGAGCAGGGGGAGGTTGGGTGCGCTCACCCACCTGCAGGAGCTGGTCTAGTGGTTGGGGGCGTGGGCTCTGAGTGAGGCAGATCCGGCTTTGAGCCCTTGCTCTGTTATTAGCAGTGATCTTCGGCAAATTATTTAATCTCTCTCCTCTATACCTTGGTTTCCTTCTCCGTAAGATCAGATGATTTTAATACTTCAATAAGGACCAAACGAGAAAGCCCCCATAAAATGGTTATGTCCGTGACTGGACTTGGTCGGCTTACATGGGATAGTAGT